TTACGAGGCAGGCGGTGGAACCACTGAACTAAATCCCCAGACCCTCAAATGTGTTTTAAAGAGTTCACATAAAAAGGATTGATTTAATTTGTCAAAAAACAACTTCTTATGATTCTTTGAACTTCTATGTATTTTTTTGCTGTGATGGGGTCTTTTCAAATCTTTTTTTTTTTTTTTTTTGTACCTGGCATCGAACTTGGGTCCTTGTGCTTGTGCAGCAGGCGGCAAAACCACTGAGCCAAATCCCTGCCCAGCCCCTCAAATCTTTCTTTTTTTGCTACTGGGGATCGAACTCGGGACCTTCCGCTTGTGAGGCAGGTGCCGGAACCACTGAGCTAAATTCCCGGCCCTCTCTCTTTTTTTAAAGTAACATTTTACATATTTATTTGGCATTAGGAATTGAACTCAGGTCCTTGCAATTGTGAGGCAAGTGCGGTGCCCCTGAGCTAAATCCCTGGCCCCTCAAATCTCTTTTTTCAATTAAGACTTCAAACCAGTTATGTGACAGACATTATTTCTTTTCTAGTGCACATCATTTAATTGCAACATATACAGTTTTTTCAATGCATCTTTAATCTGCATAGGCCCAGAATTATCACTTGTGAATAGTCTCTTCATATCTGCTTAAGGATTTTCTTTTTCTTTCTTTTTTTTTTTTTTTTGGTACCAGGGATCTAACTCAGGACCTTGCGCTTGCGAGGCACCACTGAGCTAAATCCCTGGCCCAAGGATTTTCTTTTTCAATACTCCACATTTGTCTCTTTCCCAAACAGCTATAAAGAAGAACTCTAAATAATATTATTATATTTGCAAAATATGACCCTTTATGAAACCAGATTTTTATATGGGAAAAAGGTTTGAGAAAATATTCATATTAGGATAAATATGCAACAGTTAAACAGGATATATACTGTTTATTGAATGAACTGAAGTATGAATCAAGAACTCCAGACCAGTGTTTTTTTAATGGTTCTTTATCACATGTAATCAGAATAATTTTTAAAATGAATATAATTTCCTATGTGACTTGGCATATTCTATCATTCCTGCAAATATCTGTTGAAAAAAAATTCTTTAGGAATAAAACAAAGCACTGTCCTCTTCTAGTACTTTTTGATTTGGGGTCTACATTTGATTTATCACTAAACTTTACATCCATAGGAAACTTGGGGCTGAGAATATAGCTCAGTGGCTCAGTGGCTGCCTGGCAAGTGCAAGGTCCTGAGTTTAATTCCTGGTACCGAGACAAAAAAAAAAAAGGGAACATTCAGATTAAACTCTAGAACTAGAAACATATGTAGCAAAATGAGGGAACATTAGAGACACGAAGAGGACATCAAGGGGCATACACTAGGAAAAGGATTTCCATTTTTGTTTTATGAGCACAGGGCTCATAAGGGAAGAGAAGTATAAGGTAGCCTAGGGCCAAATCATACAGAGCTTTGAGTGCCTTATTAAGGATATTAGTTTTTATTGGTCATCATTGAATATGCATGGGAGTATGAGTATCATTCATAATATTTCTTAAGCTCCAATTTGCCAATCACAGCTCTAGACATTGGGGATATGTTACAATGCCAAAATGACAAAAATCTCTGTCTTGTGAAGCTCATATTTTTTAGTAGAAAAAACAGACCAAAAAAGGAAAAGTTATTTTGTTCAATGTGTTAAGTCCTATTGGAAAGAAAGGAAAAGCAGAGCATGTTAAAGCAAGTCAGGAGTGCCGGGAATGTGTAGAGGAGGCCAATGTTTCCATTTAAAATATGATGGACAGAATAGGACTCACAAAACCCTGCAAAGAGTATAAGGGGAGTAAGATGTATGGATAATGGAAAAGGCAATTCCTGGCAGAGGGAAGAGCCAATGCTTGTGGCTTATTGCCTTATTGGGATGTAGTGAGGTGGTCACCGGGGCTGGAACTGGATGAATGGAGAGCAGTAGGAAGATGAAGTCAGAAAGATATGGGAGTGTGCAAATCCATAGGGGCTTATAGGCCATGGTAATAATGACTGATTTTGAGTGGGAGAGAAAATAGTCATTGAGAAGTTTTGAACTGAGGATTTACATAATCTGACTGGTTTTCACAGTATCACTTTGGTATGTTCAAAAATAAGCTGTAGGAGAGCAAAGATGGAGGCAGGGAGATAGGTTAGGAGGTTAGTACAGAAATCTGATAAGAGATGATTTGGGCTTAGCCGGGCATGATGGCACAAGTCTGTAAACCCAGCACTTGGGAGGCTGAGGCATGTAGTCAAGGTCAGCCTGAACGGCAGAGCAAGACCCTTTCTCAAAAAAGCCCCCCCCCCCCCACAAAGAGAGATGATGGAGGCTTAAACCAGGTCCCTGGATTGCAGCAAGATTATCATGGGACTGGAAAGCTAATTGTTTGACTCTTGGGAATAAAGAAGAAGACAAAGGTGACATGGAAGTCTTACCTGTAACAAATGGAGTGCAGGTGGTACCATTAACATAAATGTTATCCTCTTATTTGTTAAATGAGAACTTTGGCCACATTATGTTAATTCCAAAAAGAGTAGTGGGGACAGAATAGAAGATTCAAATCTCCTTCCAAAAAACCAGATGGACATATCAGTAGCAAGTTTTTTTCCCATTTAAACAGTCATCTATGATTAAACTGTCAATGTGTTCAGTTGATTTATAGATTTGAAGGATTTCTGACTTGTATATTAATGTAGAGATTTTGACTACAGCAAATTGTATTTTCCTTTAATTTATGTCCTTGCTTTGGAGATATAGTACAGATGTGTTTCCAGCCTTTGAGTTTATAACCCTAAAAGATGCAAACAAAATGAAAAGCAGGAGTTTCTTGAAGAACTCTATCATCTGTCTCAAAAACTCAGGTGGACAGGAATATACCCAGATGGTACCGAGGTTCATTCAGGCACTCTTGGTACTTTGGCATTTCTTTGTCTGATTTTGCATTATAAGAAATCATGAAGCTTGTCATAATGGATTGAAGTTTTATGTAACCAGGAGAAAAGCTAAACAGAAAATAGCTAGTATAGAGAGTTCTAGGGTGAAATCATCTTTCTTGAAATGGCTTTAGTTCTGGTATAAATAAATCCTTCTCTTTCCTTTTTCCATAGCAATAAAGATTGATTGGAGTTTGTGATGAAATATAATACAGAGATTAGAAGTTTAGATTTCTGAGGAAATCAAAAGATTCAAAGTAGAAAAAGAGCTATAGGTATACTAGTATATTTGCCTTAGCTGATCTAAGGAAGGATGATTTTTAACAGCACAGGGTTGGTGATATTAGAAAACAGTTTTCTGAGATCCTGAGACCCATCAATTCTCACTTACTTAAAACTGTAATGGAATCATCACCAGGAAGATGACTGTATTTTTTCCTAGTAAAAAAGAATTTGAACATTCACAACCAAGTTAATACGCATTATTCAGCTTCTTTTGTAAGAAATAAATGTATGAAATGTGGAAGAAAGGTTAAATCCAATTCCTAATAGACAGTTAATCAAATCTGTTTCCTTTTACATACATCTATTAGTTGATTCTTCAGTGTACAATCATGCACCACATAATGAAGTTTCTACCAGTGATGGGACCACATATATGATGGTGGTCCTGTAACATATCACCTAGTGACATCGTAGCCCTCTTAGTTTAAATACACTATAAGGTGTTTACTCAATGATGGCTCACTTAATATACAGTTTTTAGAACATACCCCCATCATTAAGTGTCACACTAGCAATATAGAGTAAGAACTGAGCTTCAGGGCCAGGAGTTTAGCTCAGTGGCACCGTGCCTGCCTTGCAAGCGCAAGATCCTGAGTTCGATCCCTGGTACCAAAAAATCCAAAAAAAAAAAAAAAAAATGAGCTTCATACTGATCAAATGTTAATGTAACATGTTGAGGTATCTCCTTAATCATGCAAGATTACTGAATTGTTAGGGATTGATTTTGTTGTATAATAATAATTCAAGTAGTGATGCCCGTATATGTTGCAGTTTTTATTAAGCACTCTAATTTAGCTAGAATACACCATTTCCAAGGAGTCTCAGTATAGTGTTAGAAGTAGAAATGCATGTGCAAAAAAATGGATAGATTTTGGGAAATTGCCATATATTAACAGAATCACAAAATTCAATAGTATTTAAAATGTTTATAAATGTGTCCTTTAGACCAGATGTGGTGGTGTATGCCTGTAGTCCTAGCACTTGAGAGGCTGAGGCAGGAGGATCACCATAAGTTTGAGGACAGCCTGGACTACATAGTGAGTTCAAGGCCAACCTGAGCTACATAGTGAGACCCTGTCTCAGAAAAAAAAAAAAAAAAGAAAAAATATCTGTCCTTTAAATCTCCATTGGATGTAACACTGAGTTCTTAGATCAAGCTGTTTCATTATGTTGTACTAATATTTAATTTGATATTTTCCTAATTGTACATTTTTTAAAAATTAGGTATTTTATACTATATGAGCGTACCATTTCCCCCAATGTAATTATTTACTGCAAACATAACACCAATAAAAGTATCAGAAATAAGAAATTTCCATATAATTAAAAAATTTAGAAATATTAAAAACATGATTGGGCCAGGGATTTAGCTCATTGGTTTCGCTGCCTGCTGCGCAAGCGGAAGGACCTGAGTTCCATCCCCGGTACCAAAAAAAACCAAAAACAAACAAAAAAATGAAAAAAACTTGCAAGGCCCTCTGATTTTGCTGTATCTTTTCTCATATTTGAACATTATGATAGTGATGCATGGTCCACATTTTGCTTTGGGATCTTGGAATCTATATTTAAAAATAAATACATACCCCCCACCTTCATTTTTAGTCTCTAAAAAGTTGTTTTTCTTTTGTAAAGATTATATTGCTTATATACTAAGCGTTCTAGTTCCTTTTTTTACTATTATTGATAAAAAATGAGGCTCATTCAATTTTTATGTTGTTTGATCTATGAGTTTCTCTTGTCTGACTGGCATTTCTTGTTTTTGTTTCCTTTTGATTTTAATAGAACATTCAAATAAAAACTTTGGCAGATGATGTGGTAAGGTGGTCTTAGAAGCATGTTATTATATTACTTATGTATGTTACTTTTTTATTAAAATGGGTGGACATTAAAGCATTGACATATGTAAGATATAAAATATGAGGATGTTTACAAAATATAGTAGAATTTCTGAATGTTAGCATGAACAATTGTGTGATATCCCAACAAAATTTTCATATCATCATATATTAATATATTCCATTACCAAATGCTTTTTAAAATTCTATATGTATATTTAACTGGAAAATATAGACATTTTTTTGTTGTTGTTACCTGGGATCCAACTCAGGACCTTGAGAGGCAGGCGGCAGCACCACTGAGCTAAATCCCCAGCCCTAGATATTTCCTTTTTCGATAGCCAAGTAAATTGCAAATATGTTAAACACTAATATTGCCAGAAATTAATTTCAATTAGAAAGGAAATTAAGTTCATTTTTCTAGTCAGATATATGCTATTGAGTTTAAAAACCTTAAATATTTTCAAGCTGTGTCTATCATAGTAAAACTTATTAAAAGTTATGGGCTCAGGGCTGGGGATTTAGCTCAGTGGTTCCGCTGCCTACTCTGCAAGTGCAAGGACCTGAGTTCAATCCCTGGTACCAAAAAAAAAAAAAACAAAAAGAAACAAAAAAAAGTTATGGGCTCAAAATTTAAATGTGCCCTTTTATAGCTAAACTTTTAACAATGGTATTTTAAGCAATGTCAGTATTTTTCTGTGTGAAATTACCTACCTACAAATAATGTAAAATAGTGTTAGCACTCTAAGGAGATGAAAGTATGCAGTTTGACTTCATTTTCTTAGCAAGATACAGCTGAAAATGAAAAATGAAATGCTCCCTAACAGAAAGTAGAACTTTTAAAGATAGAAATGAAGAACATAGTGAAAGATCAACTCTTATGTTAGTAATACTGCTACTTAGTAGAAATGTTAGTACTATGAAGGTAAATACTAAGTGTTATAAAGGAAATGGAAAAGAGATATGTTAATATAATGGTCAATTGCATATTTAAATGCTTTCATGTCCACTATATTTTTTATTGAATTTTGATTATTGGATATGTACTCAGCTTATTTGGGATTACCTAATTTTTGTTTCCTTGACCAATGTAATTCCCTCTAAGAGTTAAAAAAATTGAAAATATAGTTCAAAATAATTCAAAGAGTGCTCACTTCTGCAGCACATATGTAAAATAATTCAAAGAAATGAATTTTAAGTTAATGTGAAGACACGATAGGAAGCAGGGGCTCTTGAATTTAGATATGTTATTTTTTCTGTGAAACGAGGGAGTTGGTCTAGATGATTTTTCATATTTCTTCCTAGCTCTAAAACACTGGTTTATATTATCTCTCTGTAAGCAACTACATATTTAGTTCATTTTTGTAATCCTAAATAAGCTGCTTAAAACAGCATATTTTTTTTCAAAGTACACCTTTTAGTTTAAAAAGTGTTCTTTGAATCAATGTAATAAAAGATACATTCTTATAGTGTGGAAAGATGAATATAATTTTACATAAGCTATGGTAATAACATCTGTGATGCCTTTTGTATTGTTGAAGTAATTTTTAAGAACTCTGGTAACATGGCAGGGAATATGCACTGTTCTCATATCTAATGTATCTGCTTATTTAACACAAGCTATGGTATGCATGTGCTTCCTAACAGAAACTAGAATAAAACTGAGTTACATTCAGTTTTATGTACATTACTAATTTTTGATGTCCATTGTTTTGTGGTTTAAAATAGAGTGGGCCTGTTTTATGGAACTGATATTTTCTGTAAAAGAGCAAGCTTATTTTTTAGAGATTGTACATGGAATGAATGGTTCAAAAATCAGTATCAATAGTATTTATAGTAATAATAGTATTTATAAGAATAAAATATTTCTGTTTATGTTACCAGTAAATGCAAAAGGTGATGTTTTTATTTTTGTTTTGCTTCCTTATTGTCCCCACTTTTGGGGGAAGAAAAATCTGAGAGAAAATAATAATAGTAACAACAGCAACAATAAATAGCAACTGAGTTCACTAAGTATATTAGTTAAATCTCCAATAACCCTATGGTATAGGTAACAATACTATCCCTATTTTATAAAAGAGGAAACAAGCAGAGTGACCAGCCAAGGTTGATGAGGCTACTCAGTTAATGCAAAACACTGGACTCAAACCTACCTAATCTGGTTTCAGAGTTCATGCTATCAGCCACTCTACTTAACTACTACACTGACAAATTTTTCATATATATATGTCACAGTTTTTGCATTTGAAGAAAAACTTTACATAATTTCCTCTTAGAATTGGATATCAGTAGCTCTATTTTCTTTTTTTTTTTCATAAAGTTAGCACCAAAGAAAAATTCTCCCTGAAACAACCACACCATTTTGATTTTCTTTTCACCTACTTAATTGTGCAAAACAGACATGACCAGGGACTAAATTTTACTTTTGAGGAATACTTTTCACCACTAGACTTTTGAAACTGAAGTCCTGTTTCAAAGTTTCAAAACAGTACAATCTCCAACTGGAGCTTGCTGCTTAAAATAACATTTTGTCAAGAGACAGTAATAATATATATTACAATAAGTGACATTTTGATGTTTCAATTCTTCATGTTCATGGTTCTTGATCTTTTGCTTAGGGCTTTTTATTTTTTCTGTTTTCAGCGTGACCGAATTACAAGTTTTAGAAAATCTACAGTCAAAAAAGAAAAACCTCTTATTCAACATCCTATTGATTCTCAAGTCTCGATGAGTGAGTTTCCAGCAGCTCAGCCATTATATGACGAACGATCTTTGAATTTGTCAGAAAAAGAAGTACTGGATCTCTTTGAAAAAATGATGGTAAGTTAGAGCTCTAATTTTGTTGTAGTTTTGAAAGTACGTGTCCCCAGTATAGCAGTGGATTTAAGTAGGTGTGTTTGTGTGGAATGTGTTCATCATGCAAAGGACAGAACAAAAACTCATTTATGCAACAGAAGTATTTGTAAAAGTAACAGTTTTTTTGAGCTAAAGCATCCTTACTTGTCTCTCTTACACTATGAGTTCCTAAAAGCAGGGACACTTACTTATTTCTGTTCTCTAGTTTCTGGTACATTGATTAAAGTTTCAGTTAACTCATTTATATGTTTATATCTACAAAGCAAAACAGGCCTAAGTCCACAGTTCTTTCGGGGCAAGGAGTGAGTGGGCAGTTAGGGGAACAGAGAAATTATTTTGTCCATTTGTTCTATTAGCATTAGTCATACAGCTTGCATTTTTAGCATATTTATTATATTTTCTAGCTTGTGATCTAAATTATTTCTTATATTAGATAATAAATATATATTTTTTAAAATTTGGCAGTTTATGTTAGAAGGAAGAAATGAGGCATTGGGGCATATTACATTGTTTGTCTTGACCAGAGAAGAGCTGGAGTTCCTGATCTGTAATTCATTAATTTAAATTTCTGTCTCACTTATCCCTATAAATTCTATATGAACAATTTTATAAATGTTTTCAGTATTCCTTTCCTTATCAGATAAGCCCTTTATTTAGTTTCCAGTATATCATGATAACCTGGAAGTCCCTCCTTTTACCGCTCATTGTCCTATCTTAATTGCTGAAAATAATGGCAATAACAAAAACAGAAACATTTCTTAAGACTCTTTAATAACAATTTTAATCTTTTAAAGTCTTCTTTCTTCTCTTCACTCAGAGTTTACAGTTACAGCTTTAATCTGCTTGTCAGTTTGGTTACTAGTTTTTGCAATTCTAAAATAGTTAAAGTGTTCACCAGTGGCCTTGCCATAGTCCAGTTCTCTTCAGTTTAACACTACTGGATCATTTTCTACTCTGTTCGTTTTTCTCACTCACTTCTATATCAAATCCCACTGGTTCTGCTCTCATAATGGCTGTTACATATATGTCCTCCAGATGTTTTTAGAATCTTAGTTTAGATGGTATCCTTCTTTATTTTATTTTAATTATTTTTGTGTGGGAAAGGATCCAGTTTATGAAATTAAATTAAGTCCATGGAGGGTGTGAGGACCCCGGGCCAGGGTGCTTCCATCCAGGCTGGGACCAGCAGAGCTGGACCTCAGAAACTCCCTGGCCCTCCTCCCCTCCCTCGTGGGGCTTAAATAGGCCAGGCCCCAGCCTGGCAGCCAGGGGACCTAGAGCCTAAGAGGGATAGAAGTCAGAGAAGTAGAGGTGCTGCAAGTCCTCCTCTGCTGAGATACTCTGGGCAGTATTACACTTCAGTAGGTTCTGCAGCAAGTCCCTCCCTGTGGCACTGAACTTGGGCATGATGTTCACCAGGGATGTTGTGGCTGGGTACATTGGGTAGGGCTTATAGTCTGGCAGCTTGATCATGACAGGCCACTGCTTCTTGGTTGGCAGCCAGAAGATCCTCTTTAGCTGGTCATCCACGTCGTTGCCAGGGAAAGAGGCCTCCTGGCATCGGCCTGCTCTGCAAAGATGCAGCCGGCTCACCACATGTTGATGGACATGGAGTATAGCTTTGCCTCAAAAAGGACATCTAGCAAACAGTACCGCAGTGTGACCACCTCAGCAGAATAGCACTGGACTGGGATCCCAAAAGCTCACACCAAGCTGGAATCAGCCAATTTCAGCTCCCCATTGCTGTTTATGAGCAGGTTGTGGGGCCTCAGGTCCCTGTGCACATTGCGGCCGTGACAGAATCCTAGGCCTTTCAGCCCCTGGAAGAGGAATGACTTCACAATCTCAGGATCGAGGTCACCATTACAGCTGTCAAAATACTTTTTCAGGTTCTGGTCACAGAACTCAAAAACCAAAGTCAGCTTCTTATCACTCGGAAGTCTCACAATGTTCTTGTGTTTTATCTTCTTGAGTAGGTAGATCTCCTGGAGGATTAAACTGGGTACATCCTCATCGTCATCATCCAACATCATCCACTTCAGAGCCACAATCTCATGGGTCTCCTGGTTTTTGGCCTTGAACGCTGTTCCATAGATGCGCTCCCCAGTCTTCTTCAGTTTCTCCTATTTCTGCATCGCAGTGGCCACAGGGACCAGTTCTGGTATCCTTCTTTAGTTGTCTCTTGTGGTTCCTAAGATAGCTCCCTAACTGGTTTTCCTTTCATCTTCAGAGTGTTGCCTAGTGTCATCCATTATCACCCCATTAGTGATTCTGAAATAGGATCTCCCAAGTGGGCCTGCTATTTTGAGGTGCCTTTATGCTGTAATTAGCTAATATTTTGAGTATAATATACACATAAAGTGAGGGTCATCACTGGCGATTGATGCTCAAATCTATTTTAAATAGTTACCTTAATAATTTCAGTCTTTTTTTTTTTTTTTTTTTTAATAATTTCAGATTATTCTGTAAGTTAGTCTTTT